GATTGTAGTGTTTTCTGAGGTAACATAGCATAACGTTAACGTTAGTTCCTGAAAAAAAAGAAAGGGAATTTTCTTTAATTAACTTCTTGTTAACTGCATTTTCTGTTTCAGTACAAGACTGAAGTAAAGGTGAAATGACTGTAACGTTTAGGTAAGCTCTGGCTTTCACTTAAGTTAACGTTACGGTTAGTCACCATCATGTACGTTAATTTTGTTCACTGTAACGTTAACGTTAAGTTAGTTAAATAAACTAAACTCATTATGAAACAAGTCTTAACTGTTTTATTAAATGAGGCTTATAATACAATTCAGTTGTATTATTTTAAACTAACACTAACACAGTAAATATTGTATATTTCTCACTGGTGTTAATGCAGTGCTAACATTTACTAATGAGAACTAATTGTATATTGCCACTAACTGTACATTTTATTTTTTGGTGTTCAGGTGTACCTGATAATAGCTGAAGTGTGAGGTGAGTGTACATTCTAAGCACACAAATATAACCTAAATTCATTATCACAGTCTAAACCTATATATATACACAGTATGTGTGTGTGTGTTAGGTTGAGTCTTATTCTACTCTTATTATATTCATATTTTTTGCAGCCACAGCCACTGATGTTGAAACACTGATGGCAATCACCCCTCTCTTGATTATTAAAGGTAATGTTGAACCTTCCTCGTTTTTATTAGATTTTTAAATGTCAGGTTTTTCACAGATTTGTTGTGAGCAGTTTCTTGTACAAACTCTTTTTCTTCTTCCAGAAGTTCCACCAGTACCTCCAGTAGTAGTAAATATTAGACAGATTTTTTTTCAACTATAGTTTTTATTTTTATTAGCAATTTTACTGGGCATGTGTGTTTGTTTGCTTGGTTTTTAATAGGCAGAGCATGGAGTGTCAACTTTGTTTCTACAAACAAATGTAATTATTCACAAACATCTCTAATTTAGTCTTTCTTTCCCCAGCAGTACAACATCAAACAAACAGTCTTATTCCTTGGAGGGTCGAGTGGTCATGAGACCTCACCTGAATTTAACGACTGACTTTGGATCTGGTCTGAAACTGAAGTATGCTGAAGATGCCTTTTGCACTCTGGAATTTAAGGTAATATCTACAATAAATATTGTAACTGAGGGCTTGTTTTCGGGGGGTTAAACAAGGAATGTATAGGAGAACAAGTCATGACTCCCCTTGTCCCCTTGTAATAAAGGGGTGTGTTGCAGACTCAATTTGTTTGTCTGTGCTGGAGACCAGAGGGAAAGCTGTCTTTAAAAGGATGGGGCTCTTATACCATATGTGAAGTGACCTATTCAGGTGAGTGGATTACATGCTAGTCATTGCAAATGCATAAATAGTGGGAAATTTTTACTGGGAAGCACAAATTAAGTGAAACTCAAAAAACGTGGAAAAATATTTGGAATTTTTACAAAAAAAACTTGATTGAAATGAATACAACACAAGTGGTGTATCACTTCAATCAAGTTTTTTGCAAAATTTTCCTAATATTTAAATCATGAAAAATTAGCTTGATGCAAAAAACATCCTGCTAGTATTCAAGAACAAGTGCTGTGATGTACGTGTTCACTTTGCAGTAAGTGTGAACCCAGCATTAGATTATAGTCTGTAAACAGAAGGTGTAAATCAAATCAACTGTTTTAAAATGCTCTGCCTAGGTCATTAAAACCACTATTTGTTGTTAGATTGTTCTTGAATGTGTGTTTGTGATGGAAATGCTTTTCAGATGTTTTTGTTTAAATGATTGCAGTTTGACTGAGCTACAGTATTGTCAGCATGTTCAAACTGAGCTAATAGTAATTTTGCTCTGTAGTGCAGCAGTAGTGTCCCAGAAGTGTTGTATGAAGCTAACTGTTTGTCTGCCCTTTTGCTTATAGGTGCTTTTTGGGCACCAGTTTGGAGATGGAAGACAGACCAAGTCAAAGAAGCAGAGAAGACACATCAACCAGCAAGTGTGTAAAATTATCAGGAAAATGATTCATGATATATATATATATATATATATATATATATATATATATATATATATATTTATATATATATATATATGATATATATATGAGAGAGAGAGAGCGCGCACTCTGAAGCACTGCTTTTTATATGTATGCTACATATGATGTCAGATTTTTTTGTTAATATGTTCTTAGGATTTTTTGAGGCTTCACCTTCACCTTTTGAAAGTTTTCTGAAATGTTGACACAGATGTCATTAAGCTGTTAAATAAATCTGTAAAAATGTATGTGTGTTTGTTTTTATTTTGATTTTAGAGTCTTCTCAGATCACCCAAAAATGAAGATTCTGTCATCATTTACGCATTTTCAGGTTGTTTAGACACAAAGGGGAATATTTGATATTTTTATTCCTGTGTTTAACAAAAAAAAAATCATTTTTAACAGAGCTGGAACAACCTGAGGGTGAGTAAATCAATATATAATTTTCATTTTTGTGTGACCTAAATTTGCTTTGAAATTTTACAGCACCAAACTGTAAAATTACAGTAATCCGGGATATAACTGTAACTTTACAGTTAAATCAGGTATTTAAACTGCAACCTACTGCTAAATCACAGTAATCGTTTTGCAAATTCACAGTAAAATACAGTTAATTCTACAAGATAATACTGTGAAATCACACTAACGGACTTTATTATCTACTGTAAAGTTACAATATATGGTTGTAATTTCACAATAATTTAATGTGACAAAACCACAGTAAATTACTGTGAACTACCTCACAATAATTTACTGTGAATTTACATACAGTAATTTACTGTGAAAGTAATGCAATTATTAGCCAGTAATTTACTGTGAATTTAAGGTCAAATTTTTTACAGTGTACTGTTTAATACAGTATAGTACATTTCCCTGTGGTTCAGAAACTCTATATCTATAATAAACTACAGTATTTGATTTCATATGGGTCTTTACCTTGTTTATTTCTGACTGTTCACTTGTATGTAAGAATGTTTTAATTTTACACAGCCTCAATAATGCTCAAAATGATGAAAACAGCTATTAATCTTTATTTTAATCTTTGATTTATTGTTATTGTTTGTTTGTATTTATTTGTGTTATTGGCTGTAACTTGCATATTTGTTTGTGATAGTATTTTTACTTTAATATTGGAAATAAGGAGTGTGAAAAAATAAGGGTGCTGCTAAGTGGCATAATTTATTACATTTACACGGTTCAAAAGAATGAAGAAGAAACAACAATAATATTTAACAATATTAAAATGGACTAATAAAAATATTCAACACAGCGCCACTTTTAAGGTTTTAATTCTGCCAAATTAAAAAATGAAGTCATGCATAAATATTGTAATTTCAAAGTGTGGTAGCCTATCGAAAAATGTATATTTCAAAATTTGTCTAAAGGTTTAATGTCACAGTTAGATGCCTCAGAGACAACACAAGTTCATAGCATTATCTATTTCAGTATGATCTTGATCTGCTGTCCTTGTAAAGACTGAAATCAGGCCAGTGCAGATCTGTAAATCTGTCACCGCCCTCTTGTGGTTAAACAGTGAGTCTGCAATGCATTTAAACTAGGGAGTACTGGCTGCAACACAAATATTATGTGGGAAAAAATTATTATTGACTTTTATTTAATGTGAAACGCTCCAGCTGGCAGGTTTAGAGATAACAGTTGTTCTTGCATAAACTCCACACCACCCAGTTGGAGAATATTTATTGCTAATGTTTTTTTTTAGAAAGTAAAATGTGGAAACCACAGGGAGGCAGCAAACATGTAACCAATGTGAAGATCCATGCCAAGTTTCAAATTGCATGAGTTTGCTTACTTGATATAGAGGCAAATGCAATTATCGTGTTTGTGTTTAATAAATTATGAATATATAGAGTTCTGGGCTTTAAAACAAACTGTAATAATTGTATTACAAAAACCCTGTGTGCCTTACATTTTTAAGCTGAATCAAATTAATCATATGAGTCTATTGAACTTCTATTATGTTAACCAGACTCAAAACTGCTTGCATAACTTATAAAAATAAGTTAGAACATGATTAACTTAGTTTAATAAGTTGGAATGAACTAAAAACACATGATGTCATGACTAGTTGTTCATAATTTTTTTTACCATGCAACAATATGTGTTATGATGGTTAATAATATGTGGTAATGTTATTTAATAAACACAGCTTGGTGTTCAAAGTTCAGGTTAGCTCATTTTTCTTAATATTTACTTACTTAGACATCATATTATATTAAAATCTAAATTTATGTTTAGATTTGTGTCATTCTACCAGAAATGTACAATTTTACTTGATGTAAAAAAAAAGTGACAGGTCCTGACCTTTATGCTTGTCCTCTTCAAAAAAAATCATACAAAAACAAGCATGAAATCATACAGTTTAATGATAGAATGCATCCTTAATCACTGTCAGCTTCTCCTCCATCAAATCATGTCACTTCCTTTGAGTCGTAGCCTAAAAAGGTGTATTGAATTGCGTATTTTATGTCAAATTTAATGCAACTGGGCCATTTGTAGAATTTATTTATAATTTTATGTTTTTAATCAATTGATGTGAATGAGATACTCATGAAATAATACTTTTTTTAAGGTACTTTATAAAAAAAGTACCCTTGCTCTTATTTCAGGGAATCTTTATTAAAATATTTATGGTTTTAGTCAACACAAATACTAAAAGTGCATTTATTTTATTTCAGGTAATGTTTTTTTTTTTTTTTTTACAATTTTATTGTAAGTTTTTAAATAATTTTTTGAATTAGCCCAAACATTAAATTGCATATATTTGCAAGCTATAAAAAACGCCAAATGCCAAGACCAACAATTATTAAATCTTATAATCTGATAATCATTTTATCTTATGATTTCGAAAGTATTAGAGCAAAATACAAAACTCATTGCATCATTCATCCAGCGACTTTAGTTTTGCCTCACAATCCTTGACTCGTGTTGTAAGATTAATTACAAAGGAATTTTCCCTTCTTTTCCCCAGTGACGGAGCAGAACAATGAACAGAGAGGAGAGCCTGGATGGACAGACTGCAGAGGAGGAGAGTGGACAGTGGGAGGTAAAGCCTTGGAGATTAAAACAAGAAAACCTGATGGAACAATTTAGACAAACCATACCAAAATTATTATTGTGCAAGATTAAATGGTTTATAATAGTGATGCACAAGTCTTTATTTGTCATGGCTGTTTCTTTATAGGCAAACTGGCAGATTCGATACTGTTTTTTAATTTTTTTTGTCTTCTAAATTGCTTTTGGAAATATTAAATTAGAAATTAGATAATAGGGGTATAATTAAAGTATGAGTACAATACAAGAGTTTAATATTTGCTTATCCCAGGTTAAACTATTACAAAACCATCAACAATTAACAAAGGGCAGATTCCGATAGAGATTTTAAAATAAGAGACGTATGATATGCAATCTTACGGCAATTCATAACTTTTTGATTTAGTGCTTAATTCGTTTGAATTTGCACGTTCTAATTCATACAATTTAGTACGATTTGCTCATCACCCAATGACGTTTGGGTTTAGGGGCGGGGTTAGGTGCCACGCCTCCTTTTTTAAAATCATACATTTTCATACAACTGAACTCGTACGAATTAGCTACTAAACTAACAAAACATAAAATGTGTTTTCTCGTGAGATTAGGCTGGACGTATGATACATAATTTGCTTATTAAAGGTTAAAGCTTTACACATTTAAATTTTAACATTGCACTGTGCTGTAATCATGATCCACACAAAGTAAAGCATAATGATCTGAGTTTAACTTTGTGAAAATAGGCTACATGTACAAATCAAAAACAGCAGACAGGCTAGGTAAAAATGCTAAATCGCTCTTTGCCAGCAGGGGGTGCTCTCAGAACCGCAGGAATAATGGCAATTCCTTGGTTCTAAACAAAAAATCTAAGTATTTTATAAGGATAAACTAAAAAGAAAATGAAGTCTGATCTTTTCTAATGTTACTTTCATCAAGCCTCCAATGCCTAATTTAATATTTGGGTTTTTCTTTCAGTAATTTATGAATCGGTAATGGAGAGCTGCTCTTCAGGTGCCATTCATGTTTTTTTCCAGTATGTTTTTTAAATGCTATCATCCACACTTAATATTAAGTCAACATATACACAAGTGTATTTAATGAAGCACATGCACGATACATTATAAAGTTTACTGTGTTATTTGGCTTACAAGGAGCTTTAAATGTATTCTATCTTTTAGGTGTGGAGATTTTTATTGAAGAAATAATAATAACTCCTACAAATTTATTACGACTTTATGAAACATGTAAAATTCCAGGTGTTATCTAAACTTGAGCTATAATAAAAACTACCCAAACACAAAAGTATTATCCATACAGTTTTTTTTTTTTATTTAATGTTGAAAACATCACAAGATCACAAAACTATGAAATAAAGGAAAATCAATAGTTATACAGGTGTTCAAATATTTAAAGATATTTCATTTCATTTGAGTAGAGTTAACATTATAACTCTCAAAGGAATGCAAAAGACAAGGTTTATTTAACAATTCTATTTGTCTAGCTACATTTTTCATACTATGCAAGGTTTTTTGACTATTTACAATTTTAATTTCCTTTTTTTGTAGAGATTTAAAACCTGGATATTCAAACAATGTAAAAGCTTTAAAAGCAACCCAGGTTCATTCTGAAAAGGTACCCTTATATAGATATCTGGAGAGCGCCAAATACATCCCAGGAGCTACATTTTTTGCAATTTTTCTTTTTTGCAAATCCACCAAAGGCCATGCTTTTTTGAGATCTCTGATTTCTCTGGCGAGTGCCTTTCGCACCTGCTGTTCTCATGTAAATCCACGAGAGGCCCCTGTCGGCTGTTGCCTGACCAACCGACCGATCAACCCACCCACCCACTTCTTTAAACCCAACTGACAATGTTTTGAAAAGCAATTAAAAAGTATGTCCCGTATCATTAATTTTAAAGACTAAATGCAACCATACATAGCTTTGGCTACATAATTCGTGATCTACAGATATTAGTATAACTTTAAAACTTTGTGTAAAAGTTTAAAAACTTTAAAAATCCTCTCCCCTTAAAGAATAGTTCAAGCAAATATAAAAAATTACTCATTATTAACTTGCGCTAAAGTGAATTCAAACCTTTGCAAAGTTACTTTTTGTCTGTTGAGTACAAAAGAAGATGGAAAAGAATGAAAAAAGAATGTTGGAAACTGGTATCCATTGACATCCATAATAGAAAAATATATCCTATGAAAGTCAATGGTTACCAACATTTTTCAAAATATCCAACATCTTTTAAAATATTTTAATCTGTCCAGTCAGTTATTAGCGTGAAAAGAAACGGCCTCATACCATTCTATAGCGTTGATTTTAAAGACTAAATGCAGGCATACGTACCTCTGGCTATATAATTTGTGATCTCCAGAAATGTATATAGGGCTACGTTTTCAGAATGTGCCTATTAAAAAAGTCACAAGAGCAGAAGATTTGTTACTTTAACTTATTTTAATAACAGATTTTAACTTTATTTGTTATGTTATACATATTTTTAAGTTGACATTTTAGGTCAAATGTAAATTGAAATAACTTAATTTTATTAGATTCAACTTAAAAATGTAAAACAGCAGCATATTTATTAAAATGTAGGATTTTCTAAATAATTAATATAGTTTTAATTATATATCATTGCTGGAATAATGTTCTGACATACCATTTACAAACCTCTAGTAATATTCTATTTGTAAATATGAATGTTGATGTTTATTCAATATAAATAATGTCTAATAAAGTAAAAAGCGGTGCCAGCATTTGCCCATTTCCAGTTCCTATTTTTATCCAGTGGATGAGTGCATCTCCAGTCGGGATCTGAAAGAGTAAAGCCTTGCCTGGGGCCATTGTAGTTTTCAGTAGCCTTTCTCATTGATAAGGAGAGGCTCTTTGTGCTGATTCTTCAGAGATTGTAGCTTTTTTTTTCTGGATGCTTCTTGAATTTCAAAGGTGAAAGAGGTCACTTGATCTGCTGGCTCTTGTTAGGAGGGCTTCAGGACATGCAATAGCTTCAAATCTCTTCAGTGATGGAGTCAGTATGGTGTTTGTGTGGGTGGGAACAGTAACCTGGCAAACCCAATCCCCTAACTTATAATTTGTCTTATCTGTTGGACTTTCAAATGGTTTCCAAGTGATAAGCTTTAGATATATTGATGTGTTTTTAAGCTGCCAGAGAATTCTAGAAACCTAGCTGACATTATTCATTAGTCAGTTTGATTGGAGAGATCATTACGAGTGCTGTTACGATGTATTTTCTTTCCTTTGGGACACTGACCGTACCTTGGATTTAGATATTTTAACAAATGCCAATCAAAGTAATTAGGTCAAAATTCTGGATTAGATTTTAATCTGGATCAAATAGATCATTTAAAATATAAAGTAAACAAGACTTGAAGTATAATTTTTTTTGGCAAAGTTTCAAGCCAGTAATGTTCGCATCTTATTTTTTACTTTTAATCATATAAATTATTTTTTTTGTGTGTTTTTTATATTGGTTTTTATTTAATTGTTTATTGTATTTATTAATTGTACAATCCCCTGCATTTTATTTTATTTTAATTTATTTTTTACGGTTGTTTATTGTACTTAGTTTAACCACAACCTGCCTTTCAGGGCCTTACTTTTTTATGTTTATTTTATTTTTCTTTACATATTTTATTTTATTTTTTATTTTTATTTAATTTAATTTCAATCATTTTTAAATTTATTTTATTTTTATTTTATTTTGCATATTTGTTTTACTTTTTATTCTATTTTATTTTATGTTTATTTTATTTTACATATTCTATTTAATTTTATGTTTGTCTTTCATGGCCTTACATTTTTTATTTTATTTTTATTTACAGTTGTTTATTGTGCTTAGTTTAGCAATAACCTGCCTTTCAAGGGCTTCAATTTTTAATTAATTTAATTTAATTTAATTTAATTTTAACAATCCTCTGGCCTTAAAGGGACTTCTTTTCTATAATATGAAAATTTACTGATTATTTCCTTACCTTCAAAGAGTTTCAAACCTTTATGAGGCACTTTTTGTCTGTTAAGCACAAATAAAGATATTTTGAAAAATGTTGGAAACTGGTAACCATGGACATCCATACAACACAAGCTCATCGTGAAAACATATCCTTGTATACATATCTGGATAGTGCAAGGTCTTAATTTGTGCCAGGACACCTTGGATCTGGCACCTGTGAAATCTGATCTGGCACCTAATTTTACTGATCCCCCTCCTCAACCACCCTCCTCCCCCATCCGCTATTTACTTTCACTTTCTCCTGCGACTCCCCAACCCTCTTCAATTTAGTCTGTGTCACCCCTCCGCCATCCAACAAGCTTTTCTTTTTGTGCATTGCTTTTAAAAATGGTTGTCGGTTGAGTTTAGGGAAGTTGGTGGGTGGGGGTATCAGTCAGTCACTCAGTTGACAGTGGCCTCTGGTGGATAACGTGAGAACAGCAAGCGTGAATGGCATTTGTGAGAGAAATTTAAGGGCTGATAAAGCATACACAGTGGCCTCTGGTGGATTCATGAAAATAAAAACAGCAAAAAACATACTTCAATGGACGTAATTTGAGAGCTCCATAAATGTATATTGGGGTGCATATCAAAAATGAGCCTGGGTTGCACCCATTATAGGAAAAACAAACTTCATGAAAGTCAGTGGCTACCAAAGTCAATTGGTTTTTCAAAATATCCAACATTTTTCAAAATATCTTAATCTGTGCTCAAATGAGGAACTCGAACAGCTTTGTGACAAGTAAATGGTGATTAAACAATGACCTAATGTTCAGTTTTGGGTGAACCAACCCTTTTAAATGGTGCAATTTTTATTGTACTTTATATAAGTTTAGTCGTCTTTAGCTTGAACTGTTACTCCATTGCTTCAGATTAGTAGTGGTGCTCAAAACAAAGCAGTTTGTTTACTGCTGTTTTCTGCTCCTCCATCATGTTTCAGTTATCATGTGTTGTTGACAGCTCTTCAGTACCGACTGAATTGGACAGACAGGCCTCATCAAAGTGTTTCCTCTACGAGCCGCTGATGTGTGTGAGCAGATGTGTGTGTGACGCCGCTGTTATGCTGAAGGTCAACGGAAATCTCAAACACATCTGGAAAAGTACAATCATCTGAACTGACAAACAGGTGTGGGTTTTGTCTTTCTGTTCCCTTGAAACACTTCCCATATACAGTACAAGACACTTTGTGTTCCTTCTTTCTGAGGCTAATTATTAGTATGATTTGCAGAGTTTGTTTTCAGCGAATCATTAAATCATTCAGTTCATTTATTAAAATTAGTTTTTGTTTAGATCAGTAGGTGACACTTGAGAATAATGGTCCATTAGTTAATGTTACTAAATGCATTTATTTACATTAATTAAGTATGATTAATCTTGTCAAGCATTGATCACAGTTCAACATAAACTCATGTGTTATTACAATCCAAAGTACTGCTTGTTTACATTAGTTTATGCCCTGTGAGTTTGCATGAACTAAAATTTTATAACATTAACTGATGTTAACAAAATTAAATTAATATTGAAATAAATGTCTGTAGCTGTAAAATGTTAACTATCATTAACTAATGGATTATTATTTAAGTGTTATTGATTAAGTGGCTGTAATTAAAAAAAACATTACATTTTTAAGTTGAACCAAATAAACGATATAAGTAATTTCAACGTATATATGATGCTAAACTGGGTGAAAACATCAAATCAAATCTTTTTTTTTTTTACTTAAACTTAAATAATGTTGAAACATTATTAGCGTAATTTAAGATTTATTTTATTTTACCTTAATTACAAGTTAAACAAAAACATTTTATAATGAACTATTAATGATATAATCTTAAATATGTTGTGGTCTCATAAATATTTCTTATAGCTTTTTTTAAATGACATATTTTAAGAGTTTTTGCTTTAATATTATTGACTTAATGGCAGGTACAGGCCTTGATATTTTGGTATGGGGCATGTTTATTTTGAAGAGAGATTGAATTTAGGTTTATTATGGGCTTGTTCTTATCTGCTGTCTTTTTTATATGACAAAAATGATTTGCTTTATTTCTAGAAAGTCTCGTAATTCACTTTTTTTTCTTGGCACATGGATGCATGAATAGGCCATAAGTCTGTAATATGATCAAACCATGTCAATCTTAATAACTATTACTCATTTTGTATATAATCATTAATGAGTGATTATTTTTAAATCTATCAGCCTGCAGGAGTACACCCTTTACAAATCTTTCATTTAAATTAATATTTTATCCAGGATGCTTTACATTATTTAAGTTGTGTACATTCATAAGATTAGTCAGTACTAAAGCCAAATCTGGGGCTTATCTAACAATACAACTTACAATGCCAGTATAAGATGTTTGATAACTAAAATATTACTTCAATAAATATGGCTGTTTAATAGTTCTGTTTTGTTCAAATGCTTCAAAACATATTACATATGTTCACTGAGAAATGGACAAAAATATAAATGTTTTTTTAAAACGAGGTGTACTCATTTATGCTGAGCACTGTATATATATCAAGTCAACAGTGCATATAAGTATGCTGCAATGCTATTATATTAAAATGTGAACAGCTAGTTGTTTAGGGCTTTTCTGTACACATTACATAGAATTGTTGTAAATGCTGTTGTCACAACTTGCATTCTCCCCGAGGTATTTTGTGTTAGAATGCAGTTGTGAGTGTGTACACAGCAGGAATAAGCACTAAAATATGAAAACCAAAATCATCTGCAGTGTGTGTGTGTGTGTGTGTGTGTGTGTGTGTGTGTGTGTGTGTGTGTGTGTGTGTGTGTGTGTGTGTGTGTGTGTGAGAGAGAGTGAGAGAGTGAGAGAGAGACCAATTCAGTTTTCGTTCCAGTGATTCAATCAGAAGCACTAATTCACTGGTTCTTATGTGTGAATCATCAAGTTCTTCAAGAATGACTTATGAATGGGTCATTGACTCATTCATTTCAATGAATCATTCAGCAAGGAAACTCCACTAGTTTTCTTTATTGGAGTAAAAAACAGCAAAAAAGTAACAATAAAATATGCAAAATTGTGTCTAGAATGTAAGTAACTCATCTTGATTATTGAGAGGTTGTTTTTTCCAAGATTTAATTTTTCTCGACTGGCATTTGTGACCATTGTGTTTACATCTCACACAGAGTAAAAAACCTTAAATGTATTTTTTCCTGCATTAAATTCAATAACATATTTTGATTAATGGCTTTATTCTTATATGTCAACACTACATGGCCTTTATTGTCATTAAACAGAAACAACAACTTCAGCAGACTTCAGGTTAGTTAAGTGATGATAAACATCATTCAGTCTTATTTTTAACACAGGCTCATTGTAAATATGTATCCCAATATATTTCTGGAGAGCGCAAATTATGTATGTAGAGGTATGTCTGACTGCTTTTCGTCTTTAAAACGTTGTTACCGTTGTTACCAGTTTGCCCAGTAGCTCACCCTGTATGTCGGCGGACTTGAGACACAGAGAGGAGTTGACCCCAATAACAGGGTTTGAATCTGGTAAAGAACGATTCCAGAAAGTGGGTAAAACAAAAAGGCAAGTAAACAAATGGGTGAGAACTTGGTAAGTTTAAAAAATGTGGTAAAAATCAGCTGGCCGTGAGGGCTTTTTTTTCTGGATTGTTTTTGGAAGCTCTGTCGGTTGTGTTTAGGAAAGGCAATGTGTGGCTCATTCAGTGCTTTTAAAAACACTATCGGTTGGGTTTAGGGAAGGAGGAGAAATTGTTCAGTCGGTTGGTCAGTCAGTCATTAGTGGCCTCTGATGGATTTACGCAAGCACAGCAGGCACGAATGGCACTCGTAAGCGAAATTTAAGGTCTGAAAAAGCATACACAGCGGCCTCTGGTGGGTTTGCGAAAACAAAAACTGCAAAAAAACGTACCTCCTGGGACATATTTGGCGCTCTCCAGAATTGTACTCAGGGGTATGCTACAATGAGCCTGCGTTGCCTATTTTAGTCTAGTATAAGATACAGAGATAAAACAGTCATCAAAACTTAACCAAGCAGTTGTTAAAATGTCATTCAGCTGCTTGTATAATAAAGGATACAGCAAGACCTATAAAACAAGTCAGAAACTGAAACATGAATCTCATATTAAGTTGTTTTAAAATCCCATGCATTCAAGAGTTGTCATTCTGGGAATTTACAGCACTCAACTAAACTGCAAATAATGCCGACATTGATGAATACAAACAAAGGACAGAAGGACAGTGTGAATTAACTCTTCTATTATTGTGGCATAAAAATACATTTCCCCTCAGGATACAAATGCAGATTTTGTTCAAACCTCGGACTGTGCATGTATTCATATAGAGCAAAAGTATAGCTGCCAGTTTTGCTCCTACTAAAGCCACTATTCATTTTAAAGGTCACTGAGATCCTGCTGTGATGAAAGATGCATGCTAACGTGCATATTTGTCATAATAGTGAAATCATCTCTGATATCTCAAACTGCTACTGTATGAAGGAAGAGTTTCTGTTGCATCTAGGATTAAGAGTTCAGATGCAAAAACATTAAAGGGCCATCTTAAACTTTCTTCTAAGATGATCAGTTTTTCAGGCTCCTACAGCATGCCAATGTTCAGTAATTTAACTTTTATGCAAATAATAGGTTATTTTCATTGCCTTTAACATGGGACACTGCACTGTAAAAAGCGACTAGTTTGCTTTAGAGGTCTGTGCAGGATAAATTTTTTAGTCATGCTCCCGCAAGGTTTTATTCCGCACCTGACCGCTCCTGCCGTATATTCGGCCTTTGTTCACCCACTCCCCGCTTAGAGTAATTTTCTGCCCATTCCCGTAAATATAGGTTCCCGCTAAATATAGATATGGTTTCCAAAATCTCACATTTAAATTTGGTAGGCTACTATCAAAAGAAAGAGATGACAGATAAAACTGTAGGTTACGCAAGGATTTTAGGCTAAATGAAAGTTTTGTTTGCTTCTTTGTGATTAGAAATGAGTGCTCCCTTAAACCTGAGGTTCCAGTCTTGTGACTGCTAAAGGGTAAAACTTTCGCACAATTTTTTTTTCGTTTGCATCTATGACGCATGAAAAGAGACTTACCTGATGTGGGTATCCTAAAAGTAAACTGGCCATTTTCTAATGCAAGCTGAAGGACCGTGCATCTTCATTTTGCTCTCCCATGTTGGTTAAGCCCATTCTGAGAACCGTTGTGCAGATGATGTACGCACAGACTGTGCGAAAAAAAGTACATGCAAGAAAGCACATTCAGCATGTGTAACAGTCAGTCACTGGCTGTACCAGTGCTCAATAAGGAAGGAAATCACAGATATGCTGTTCTGAAATAACCTCGGGACTCAGGAATGCTATATTTTTAGCATGCCCGCTCCCTTTCAAATTACACCAGAGTTACAGACTGTTGTGTTTTATTCGCAGATTTATTCCCTCGCCTCAAGAAATCTCATCTGGTCCAATGCAGACCTCAAAAAAAGTAAGTTATACTGCGTTTTCCTTGCCTTGGCTTCCTTGTTTTGAACCTTTGCTTTGTTCTGTTTGATCATTCCAGTATGCCGCTTGCCTTCTGACCATTTGCCTGCTGTTTTGACTACAACTATGGATTGCCCTCATGCATCTGTTTGCTCCTGTGTTGATCATTGCTGGCCTGACCTCGCTAATAAACTTGCATGTGGATCCGCACCTGTTGTCAGTGTCACTCCCCTGGTTACACGTTCCAAGTTAACAAGGAATTTAGATTAAATTAGATTAGATTACATTCAACTTTATTTTCATTACACATGTACAAGTACAAGGCAACGAAATGCAGTTTAGGAGTCAGAAGAGTCAGTGAGGGGCAGAGTTCAGAAGAGTGACAGAAAAAGCTGTTCCTTAGTCTGCTGGTTTTGTCTGGGGAGCCTGAAGCACCTGCCAGAGGGCAGGAGAGAAAACAGTCTGTGAGCAGGGTTAGAGGAATCCTTAAGAATACTTTGTGCATGGTGCAGACAGTGGGTTTACTCACTTTGTAAAAGTGAAGTATCTAACCTCATTTTACAGTGAGGAAAATGCTTATAAATAAAAACATTTCAGAAGACATTTAGAGGTTTTTGCGTATGATCTCTTCATACATACTGTATATACAGTGGGTTAAAAAAGTACTGAAGACAACACTATTTTTCTGTTGACTTTTGAAATTTTCACTAAATGCCAGTAGCAGCTGAAGTAGTCTATACATATGAAGAAAACAAAACTCACCGGCAGCTACCTCTCTGCAATTCTCACATGGTCATCCACGGAAGCTAAGTATGGCTGCGCCTGGTCAGTACCTGCATGGGAGACCTCATGGGAAAGCTAGGGTGTGCTGCCGGAAGTGGTGTTAGTGAGACCAGCAGATGTCACTTAATCTGCGGTATGTGTGGGTCCTAATGCCCCAGTACATTGATGGGGACCCTATATGGCTCAGTGAGCGCCGTCTTTCAGATGAGGTGTTAAACTGACATGTAATGTCACAGTAAAAAAATATTGAACATATGAAGAAAGGAAGGTGTAAAAAGGCATGGAAAACTCAGACAGCAGCTGAAATCTCTCAGTAGTTATTCAGAAATTCTAAATTAACATCAGCTGTTTCAGTCCCAACAACTACGTTATCAGATGATAGAAATGAAACCAGGGTGGACATTTCAGCAAGATGATGATCCTATGCTAAGGAACTTTCGATTAGTTTCAGGAAAATAAAATAAAATAAAGTTGCTCAAATGGCCCAGCAAACCACTTGAATTAGATAGAAAATAAGAACTAAAGATCAGAGTTGATAGATGAGACTCACAGACAGTGCATGCGACTACATTCTCCACACAAGAGGCGTCTTGAAGCTGTCATTACCAAATCAACCAATTCTTTCGTCCCGTGTTATTCCCTTGTTATTACACACACACACACAACAGTTTTAACAAAATGTGTGTCAGTTCATGTCAACAGCTCCATTAAAAATATATTTACTAGGGCAAATCATGACATGTTCAATACTTATTTCACCCATATGAAAGGTGTAATGATTACAATCTTCAAATTGTTTTCTTTTGTATTCTAAAGAAGGGGGTACGTCATGGAGTCTTAGGGCATAATAAGGGCAACTACAGTATTGCCTAATCCCAATTCTACCCCTTAGGAATATAATGGCCATTTTTGTCTCAGTGTTTATGATAATTTTGGCTTTGTATTGTAAATTGAATTTTTATCAAACCAATTAAACCTGTAATATTTCATTCAAGTTGATCACAGCTTCAAACAGCTATTTGAATAATATTAATAATAATAAAATATCCAGGTTTGGCCTGCAGGAGCAAATAATACTTTACTTCTGTGCACTACAGGCCAAATTAATAGAAATTATGCAGTTACAGTTATGTGGGTGTGTTAGTGTGGATATCAGAGTTTGTTTTGTTTGTATATACTTAAAATATAAATCTGTGTGAGCGGTTGATTTGCTTCCCGTAATTTAATTATGCAAAGCTGTAATATTATAAAACAAAATCTGGTTGTCCTTTAGTACAGTGGGAAAAATAAGTATTGAACACGTCATGTTTTTTATGGGATTAATATTTCTAAAGGAGCTTTTGACATGGAATTGTACCTGCTTTTGGTAAAAACTCAAACAATACAAACATAAAAATAAGACAAAACTAAACAAAAACAATCTGAAAAACGAGTTCTGTGTAAAAACAACGGAATGACAAGGTGAAAGTGCTGAACTACTGAAACATTTAATACTGTATATTAAGGGCTTTCTTGGTGATGGCAGCTTAAAGACGCCTCATTTGGAGAATGAAGTCACATGAATTGCTCGGGTATAAGTTTTCCACAGACTTCAACAGAGTGGGAAAGTCTTGATGCTTCTGTGGGTCTCGTCTATCAAGGTGATTAGCTGGGCCATTCTACAACTTGATTTTATTCCTCTGAATGCATTTGAGTTTCCATGGCTGTGCTTTCTATCATTGTCTTGCTGAAATGCTCACCCTGGTTTCATCATCATCATCCTGCTAATGTAGATGTTAGACTGAAGCAGCTAATATTCTTTTACAATGATGAAAGGCAGGGGGTTGCTAAATAACTACTGAGAGATTTCAGCTGCTGTCTGGGCTTTCACTGCCTTTCTACACATCCCTTTCTTCATGTGTTCTATATTTCTTCCCTGTGTCATTTTAATGTATTACACATAACTTTCCTAAATGAAATCACCATACTGGTAGGTCTGTCTCTGTGGGATAGCAGCGTAATTAATATAAGTGAGATCCGAGACGTGACTCACCACAGATAACTGTTGCGGGGGAGTTAAAGTCCCTGAAATCTGGCTGAGATCAAGAACTATTATTACGTTTGGCTAGCTAGGGCCACGTTTACACTAATACGTTTTAGTTTTAAAATGGCATTTTAGAATGAAGACGATCCGCGTCCACACTAGAGATTTACTTGTGGTTAAGAATAGAGCAATTTGCTAGTGTTTAATTGCATTGGGCTCACACACATACCTGCCAACCTCTGTCCCTGAAAATCCGGGGGGGTTGGTTTTGGGGGGTGAGATGTCTGAATAACAATGTTGATAACCACTGTTTACTGTGTTAGTAACTACTATGAAGCGTGTTTCGGGCGGCCGCTACGATTAGATCCTATACCAATGTTGGCAACCCGGGGGTTTCACAGACCGTACCAAAATGCTGAGGACCGGGGGGGGGGGGTGGGGGGGGGGGAGTGTGGCAGGAGATGGGGCTGAAATACAGGAGACTCCCCGAAACAACAACCGTGTTGGCAAGTATGCTCACACATGCACTCTGCACTCTTGCTACTTCAATATTGTTGATAAGCCATGGTGGCCATTTTACTCTGTCTTGCACTGAACGCTATCGACCAATCGCAACAAGCTGTCATTAGTCCAATCAGCACAGATTAGCTTTGTCCTAAGGAGGGCTTTGGGAACAAAAGAGTCGCTAATTGATTCATTTGGGAGTCACTGGGATAATTAGGTAAAAATGTATGCATATTATAAGACAATGAAAGTGTTTTTTGACCTTGCATGCATATCAGCCTGTTGTTAGAGACCCTCAAAACCATGACCCTTTTTAATGTATAATAGGGGCTCTTTAACTTTTCGATCTTAGGTGAAAAATTTAGTCTGTTGGAGACGTCCAATAGATTAATAGGTACTGAAAAGGTCCACAGATGGGGGGTGATCACCAGAATGGGAAAGTCCTAGAGTAAAATGAGAAAATATGATACACCGGTGTTTTGGAATATGGAAAAACTGTCTCTACGCTGTTTTCATCTGTTTTATATTATTTGTTTTTATTTTATTTATCTTTGTCTCTTTTATTCCTGTTTATGTAAAGCACTTTGAATTGCCACTGTGTATGAAATGTGCTGTATAAATAAATTTGCCTTGCCTAATTAATTTTGGTTTCTTTGCATATCCGGTGAAAATTTTAAAATAAAAAAGCACCTTTAAAAAATGTTTTCTGAAGAAAATGGTGTATGGACAGTAATAGATTGTAATTTGTCTTCATAAACTATGAATTTTAAATGAAGTGGCTCAGGGGTATAAAGCAATATTTATAGGAAAATGGTAAAAATGAAATTTAAAAACATAATAAAATAACAAATAATAATCAGTAATAATTAAATCAATAACTAATGATTATTAAAATGATCAGATATAAATGACTAATGGGGCAGCACGGTGACGCATGGGTAGCACAATTGCCTCACAGCCAGAAGGTAGCTGGTTTGAGTCACAGCTAGAGTTTTCTGGGTGGAGTTTTCATGTTCTCCCAGTGTTCACGTGGGTTTCATTCGAGTGCTCCAGTTTCCCCCACAGTCCAAACACATGCGCTATATAAAGGTGGGTGTTTCCCAGTACTGGATTATGTCTGGAAGTGCAACTGCTGCATAAAACATATACTAGAATAGTTGGCGGTTCATTCTGCTGTGGTGACCTCTGAATTGGAGATTAAGCCAAAGGAAAATGAATGAATGATATAAAAAGTGATTCTTTTATGGGTTTTTTGACACATTTTTGTGCTCTGTGGTCTGATGTGTAGCCTTTTTTCTCACAAGGAAGCGAGTAATGTGAACTGTTTCCTTTCTACCAAGCAGTCCACGCAGATTTCCAGTCATTATTTCAATCACGGCGCTAAAGCCCTGCTTTTTTGGCAGCTTTTCACTGACGCAATCATCCAAACACGTTCAAAGTCAATATTTTCAAAGAGACTCTTGTCTGTTCCAAAGAACATAAAATGGCGGGATTTGTGCTCGAATTCCTCGCAGCTCTCTGTGTTGTTGTCAGGGAACTGAAATCCAGCATGGAAATTGACCTTTGGATCTGACACAACACAGATACTGTCTTCCCATGTGTTAGGAGCCTGATGATGTCCGTTCTGATGGCTCAAGCTGAAGGTCAAAGGGTCTTCTGGCAGCAGATTCTTGGTCTTCAGAGTCTGAATTCCTTCATTCTGAGTCTTGAGAATCTGCAGAGCTGATGAGTCTTTCTTCTCATCTTATGAACAACACTTGGCTCATTCTGACGTCCAGAGGAAATGACTTTTCCTAGTCACTCTTCATCTCAAGTGGAGAACGGGAGGGAGGCCATGAGTTCAGTTTTGGAGTGCAGAAGTTCACTATTGTTCACGCCGCTGTGTGTTTGAGTTAC